GCATCAGTCACCGTATCAGTCCACCTATTGAGAGTCTTCCTCTCCTTTGTTGACCCTCCAACTTTCTCAGCATCATGTTCTTCTCCAAGGAGTAGTCTCTCCTAGCAATATGGCCAAAGTGTGTGAGGCAAAGCTTCATCATTCTTGCCTCCAAAGAACACTCCAGCTGCATCCTCTCCAAGACATTTTTTTGTTCTCTTGGCCATCCATGAGATGTTCAGTGCTCTTCTCCAAGACCACAGCTCAAAGGCATCAATTCTTTTTCTGCCATCCTTATTCATTGACCAGGGCCTAAATCCGATGCACTCATCCTCAAACCCATATCATTACTCCTCAATAATTCAATAATTTGGAGAGGTCCCTAGCTTGTCATATTTTCGTGTAAATTATTATTTTATCATTTCTCCAGCAATGCTACAATTTTTCACTCCTTTTTCCTTTTCCATTTTGTCTTTAAATTTTAATTCTACAAATATTTTGATTGCTGTGAGATAATGATCACTTTTTACCCACCTATTTACTACTTACTGGTCCTTTCTATTGCTCTTCATTCTTTTTGGGGTTATTTTTCCTTCTACTTGAAGGATTCTGTTAATATTTATTTTTGAAAGTTTCCTGGTGACATGTTCTTTAGCTTTTGTTTGTGTCCATATATTTTTATTTGTCTTCAGAATGAAGACTTTTTTTTGTCTGGGTATCAAATTCCACTTACCAGCAGCTTTCTTTGAATATTTTAAAGATATATTTCGTTGTCTTTGGCTTCCAAAGTGTGACTTTCAGTTGTTCCTTTGAGGGTCATGCTTCCGGTTCCTTTTAAGGTCTTCCTTCCTTCCTTCCTTCCTTCCTTCCTTCCTTCCTTCCTTCCTTCCTTCCTTCTTCCTTCCTTCTTCCCTCCCTCCCTCCCTCCCTCCTTCTTTCCTTCATTTCTTTCCAGCTTTACTCTGGTAAGACAAAAAAAAATGTGGTTTTCTTTGTATTCACCCAGTTTAGAATTGCAAAGAATTTGAAATCTCTAAGTTGCTGTCTTTCACTGATTTTGGGAAACTGCAGGCCAGTCTCCGTTCTGCCTCATATTTTCTCTCCTCTTCCTAGGCTGTAGTTATGCTGTTAGATCATTGGTTTTCAAGAACTGTTGTGACAAAAAGCCACAAACTAGGTGGCTTAAAACACCAGAACCTTATTCTCTCACAGTCTAGAGGCCGTAAATAAGGAATGAACATCCTGGCAGGGCATTGCTCTCTAAACTTTAGGGAAGAACGTGTACTGACTTGAGGTGGCTCTGGTTAAATCTTGGCTTTCTTTCATTTGTAGACTTCTTTCTGGTCTCTGTCTCCATCGTCACAAGGCCTTGCTCTACTGGTTCTTTGCATAGTTTTCTTATAAGGACATCAGTATTGAATTTAGAGCCCATCCTAATCCAGTGTGACATTACTTTAATTATTTGTACCTGCAAAATCTCTTATTTCCAGTAAGGCTGTATTCTGGGCTTCTGGTAGACATGAAATTCTGGAAGATTTTATTTAATTCAAACACTACTTCTGTGCATTTAATTTGCTGTCAAATTAACTTGTATTGTAAAATTTTATTTGTTCTTGTCCTTTCAAGTCCTCAAACTTTCATTGAACTCTTTTTGTAAATCTTTCATCTAATTTTTTCCTTCTGATTTTTTAATAGTACAGTATATTTATTTATTTTTTAATTTCTTTTGGACTTCCATTCATTCATTGTTGCGCTTTTCTCCCCACCCCCAGTTTGCTCCTCTCCTTAAAAAGCAAAAGAAAAACTCCTTCCTTGGTTCTTCTGATTTTTAAAAATATTAAGTATGGTGATACTCTGGCCTCATAACATCATTTGGCACTATATTTGGCATGGCAACAAATATTTGACTGTTATACATTGTATTAAAAATTGTTGAATGTAGATAATATGATCTTCTATCAGACAGTGGGCTTAGTCTTTCTTTTGGTGGGCAGGATAGAGAAGGAATGGAAACCTTAATACATTTTAGGACTCAGTTGACTTTAGGCTACATTGTAGTATTGATAGAGTCATTAATCTCTGGTTCTTTCCTGATTCTGGACATGAACACTCCACAGAGTCCTTCTGAGAGCTTGGGAGGTGAGTCCTTCCATAGCCATAAACTTTCCATAATGTTTTCAGAACATGGCAAGTTCTCTCTGCTTTTAGAAATTTTCTGCCTGTCTTCTTAGCTCCTTGCCCTGTGAAGGTTCAGAGCTCTCAAGTTCTTTAGAGAAACTTGCAGAGTTTAGGATGCAGTTCTTCACTCCACTTACAGTGAAGGCCTGGACCCTCAAACCTCTGATTTTCTGATATTCTGGAAGTGTTGTCAAGATGCAGAGCAGGTGGAACTTGCATGTACTTCTGGTGTGTCGGTAAGTGGGTATGACTATTTAAAAAAACCTATTTGTAAACATCTCAAAGCCAAGCCCAGATCTACATGTGTGCCAGCCAATTACACATGGTCATCACAGCTTTTCTTCTAGTATTGCACATTAAATAGAACTCTGTTGTTGTTGTTGTGTGCCTTTGAGTTGGAATTGACCCATAGCTGACCCTTGAGCAGATTTTCAGAGGCAGTTAATCGCACAGGAAGAGACAGACTGTACATCCTTCTCCCACGGAGCAGCTGGTGGATTTGAACTGTGTGCCTTTGGTATTGCAGCACAGCTTCTTATCACTAGGCCACCAGAGCTTCCTAAATATAACTCTAGTGATCCTCAAAGAGAAAAGGGAAACTAAATAGTGGTGTACAAGGAAATCCTGAGTGGCAAAAGACAAAACTACATGTAGTACGTCAATAAGGATCTATTTTATAGATAGCACACTGACGAAAGACCCAGTCATGGAAGCATTGTAGTACTCCCTCGTTGCTCTGACTTGCAGCAACCCCAGGTATGACAGAACAAAGTGCTGTTTAGTCTTGTACCATCCTCACAGTCTAGCTAGGTTTGAGCTCTTTTCTTCTCACTATATCAGTCTGTTTTAGTAAAGATTTTCCAGTTTTTTAACCATAAATGCCCTTTTCTAGGGAGTAGACCCTCCTGATAACATGTCCACAGTATGTGGGATGAAATCTCACCATCATCGTCTCTAAAGAACATTCTGGTTGTACTTCTTCCAAGACAAATTAGTCAGTACTCTTCGACATCAACAAATGCAAAGCTTCAATTTTCTTCCTTATTCATAGACCAGATTTCTCATGCATATGAGGCAATTGAAACTATCATGACTTGTGTTAAATGCACCCTCCTTCTCAAAGTGACTTATTTCATTTTAACACTTTAAAGAGAACTTTTGCCCAATGGAATATATCCTTTGATTTCTCTCTCTCTGTACATGTGTATTGTTGTTGTTGTTGTTATGTGCTGTGTTGTTATGATCATCTGTGCCTCATAGCGGCCCTATGTACAACAGCCCTAAGCCCTGCTCTATCCTGCACCAATCTTACCGTCTCTGAGACACCTACCCCCATAACTCCAGTCACTGAATCAATCCATCTCATCGAAGGTCTTCCTCTCCTGAGCTGTCCCTTCACCTTCCCAAACATGACGTCCCTCTCCAAGGACTCGTCCCTCCTTGCAACATGTCCAGAATCTATCAGATGAAGCTTCAGAATCCTTGTCTCCAAGGAGCAGCCTGGATTTACCCTCTTCAGAATGAACCTGTTCATTTTCTTAGCAGTCCATGGTATATTCAATACTATTCTCCAACATCACATCTCAAAGGCATCAATTCTCCTTCTCTTATCCCTAGTCGTTCTCCAGCTTTCTGTTTTATAGCAAGTGATTGCAAAGACCATGGCCTGTATCAGGTGCACCTTAATATCCATACTGGCATTGTTGCTCTTCAGTACTTTGGAAAGGTCTCTGACAGCAGACTTTCGCAATACAATACGTCTTTCAATTTCCTGGCTGCTGGTGCCGAGAATGTCGACTGTGGAACTAAACAAATTAAAGCTGTTAACAATCCCAATCTCTTCACCATTTATATCTATATATAATTGTATGTGACATTAAAGAAAAGGGTAAAATAACTTATGACAAGAGAATTAAAATAGGGGTTCTCTTGTAGGAGTTCAGTGGTGACTGGGGACCAGAAATGGTCTATGTTTGATGTGTGTAGTGGTTTAATGGGGGTGTGAATACATAAGGTTCATTGACTCCTACAGCTACAATTAGTGAACTTAACTACGTGTAAGTTACGCCTTGATAAACAGGTGGAATAATTGATAGAGCACATCACACACTGAACAAGACTACCCTGCCACCCAGCACTGACTGTCATATGCTAAAGACAAGAGACTATTTAACTGAAACATCTTTGGCCACTGCCAAAATTCTCCTAATTCAAGTTACCCTCAGATTGTAGCTCTGTAGCAGGGATCCTTGTGTTTGTGAAGATAGTCTTTTTTTTTTAAAAAAAGAAAAATTTTCTCATTGTTTTATAAACCCTCCCCCAGGTCCACTCCACTATGCAGCCTTTGCTCTGGACTCCTGTCATGACAAAAACACCTAATCACATATCCCTTTTAAACAGTTTTCTCCCTCATCTGTTTCAATGCAGTATACATTATTGAACCAGTCTTTCTCAGTCTCCCCCCAACACCAAGGTCAATCCCATTCTACAACAGTGGCACCATGCAGTAATTGTCCTTTTGTGACCGAGCATAATGTCCTCCAGGGTCACCCATTTTGAATAATATTGCATGAGTTCCTTGTTTTTCAATGTAGCGTAGTATTCCACTGTGTGAATATACCACAGCTTCTCTATCCATTTGTTTGTTGATGGACACCTAGGTTGCTTCCAACTCCTTGCTATTGTGAACAAAGCCACAATAAACATGGGTTTGCAAAGATAGTCTTAAGAATCCACATAGGATCACTGGACTCTAGGGACCATCTATTAAACTCTAATGTTTAAGTGTTAACTGGATTAGGACCAGCTTTGTGCTTCTGATCACATGTCTCCTGCTTCCCTAGAACCCACAGTGGTGTTTGCCAAGGAGCAGCCAGCACAGAGCAAGGTGCAGGCTGAGACAGGAGCCAGCGCCATGCTGAGCTGCGAGGTGGCCCAGGCCCAGACAGAGGTGACATGGTACAAAGATGGAAAGAAGCTGAGCTCGAGTTCGAGGGTGCATGTGGAGGCCACAGGTCGTGGGCGGCGGCTGGTGGTGCAACAAGCGGGCAAGGCGGACGCCGGGGAGTACAGCTGTGAGGCCGGGGGCCAGAAGGTCTCCTTCCGCCTGGACATCACAGGCGAGTCTTCTGGGTTTGGTGGCAGCTATGTTTGGAGATGACAATGTGATTGATTTATAACCTCCAAGAGGTCTTTGTTGTGTTTCTGTTAAACTGTTTGTTTTCCTATTACCCGTCTTCCTACCTTCTTAATTTTCTGCTCAAAGTTGGGACCTCAGGAGGCTCACTGGTGTGGAAGGAAAAAGATGAACAGTTAATTTTTTCTTTAGGTCTTTTCTCCCCACTGACAACAGTGCTTAGTTTTGTAGTCCCAGATGTGGCTTAAAGCCCTTTTTGTCTCCTTTGTTTTACAATTCTCTGGTCTTTTGCAGCAGCAGCAGCAGCAGCAGATGATGATGATGATGATTTTATATATAAACTTGAGGCTAAGACTCTCTTCCTAAAAAAACCCATAAAGTTATTCTTTTTGTCTGGTTCATAGAGAAGATCAGTAAGGAAACAGAGGACCTGAATTACACTGTAAACCCACTAGTGCGAGTGGCCATATTTGGCAATCTCCTTCCAGCAACATCCCAATATATGTTCTTCTCCAGTGCACGCACATCATTTCCCAGGAGAGCTCACATGCCACCTCGTAAAGTCTCAAAAAAATATTGACATCATATAGATTTTTTTTTCTGGCCACAAAAGGGTGAAATTCTAAGTCAGTAATGGGGAGCGGGGGAAGCTATGGAAAATACATAATTAGATGGAAATGAAACAATAAACTCTTCAAAAGCCAGTGGATCAAGGGAGAAATTAAAAGGAGATCAGAAAATGCTTAGAGTGGAATTAAAATAGAAAATACAGCATATGAAAGTTTTTAGGACACAATGAAAATGGTCCTAGGAGAGAAACTTATATAAACTGACATTAAAATAGCATACAGATCATGAATCAGTAATCTAACTTTACAACTTGAGGAGTTAGACGAAGAGGAGTAAACCAAACCTAAAGCCACCTGAGAAAAAGGGTAACAAAGAGCAGAGCAGAGGCCGAGGCCAGAGAAATAGAAAGAATCACGAAATCAGAGGTAGCTTTTGTTGAAAAGATTAATAAAGTCAACAGGAGTTTGCTATCTGAAAAAGGGGGGAACGCCATGTAAATATATAAAATCAGAAATAAATGTGGTACTGTTACAACCAATCTTATGGAAATAAGGTTAAACGATTACTCTGAACAATTGTGTGTCATAAAACTGTGTAATCTAGGTGAAATGGATAAATTTCATGAAGTATTTACATTTACATGAGAAAAAATAGAAAATATCAGCATACTTCTAAAAAGTGAAGAGATTGAATCAGCAATCAAAACCTTCCAAACAAAGAAGAGTCGCTAGATCAGAAGGCTTCCTAGAGAATTCTACCAAACATGTAGAGAAGAAGGACTTCAATCTTTCCCCCCCTTTTTTAAAAATTGGTTTGTTTACAAAGTTTGTATACATTTGTTTCACAGTATTCTTCATAAACAGTATGTTTCATAAAATCAGTCACCGTTGGACCTTGCCTATCATTACCCCGTTTTTTTCACCGCAATCCTTTTTACACTTTTCCAGAAAATAAAACCACATTGGACAGTTCCAAACTTGTTCTATGACACTAACTAACAGTGCTCTGATACTAAATCCAGACAAAGACACTACAAGAAAAGAACACTGCAGAACAACATCTCTGAGCAGTATAAATGCAAAAAGCCTTTACCAAAACTAACAAATCAAACCAAAAAACTTGAAAGATTATATGCAATTTTCAAGTGAGATTTATTTCAGAAATTCAGTAATGGTTCAACATTAGAAAATGAATCACTTTTATACAATAAAGGAAAAGTACTACATGGTCATATATGCAAAAGTACTATATGCATTGATGCACAGAAGGGATTTGACAAAACTCAGTGCCCTTTCATGATAAAACACTGAATAGAATCTAGGAATAAAAAAGAAATTCCTCAAAATAGTAATGGGAATCAGATACAAAAAGAAATAGATAACCAAAGAGTTCTAGAGCTATTAAAGAAATTGATCCAATTAAAAAGTGTCCCCCTGCCCCCATCTAGAGCTCAAGAGGCTCTAATGGTAAAATGATAAGTATTCTGGGAAGAAGTTATTCCAAGGTCATAAAATTATTCCCAAGAGAAGAGACACTCTCCAACGTATCTTATGTAGCTAGTAATTGTTGTTGTTATGTGCTGTCAAGTCGCTTGTGACTCATAGTGACCCTTATACAACAGCTCAAAACCTGCTCTATCCTGTGCCAAGCTCATTGTCTCTGACACACCTACCCCCATTACCCCAGTCACTGAATCAGTCCATCACATCCAGGATCTTTTCCTCTCTTGTGCTGTCCCCCAACCCTCCCAAGCATGGTACCTCCCTCCAAGGTCTGGTCCCTCCTTGCAATATGCCCCAAATATGTCAGACAGAGCTTCAAAATCTTTGCCTCCGAGGAACAGGCTGGTTTCATTCACCCTTTCTAGGATGAACCTGTTTGTTCTTCTAGCAGTCCATGATATCTGATAAGGGAAATATGAAGAATTAAAATTTTCTTATGGAATATCAAGGCTAAGATCCCAAACAAAATATTGACAAAGTGAATCCAGCAATAAACCAAGAAGTGAGCAAGGGCAGAGATCAGGAATGCACGATTGATGAATATTGATTAGTAAACTGATATTATCCATGGCATTAACAAATTGAAAGAGAAAAAGCCATGTAGTTATTTTAATAAATGCAAAAGAAAAGTATTTGAGAAAAATCTAACCATTTATGAAAAAATTCCTAGGAATGAGAGCTAAAAGAGATACATACTCTGCCTTACCCCTTCGAAATTTGATCAGGGCTACTGCAGAGAATAAGAGCTGACATCAACACTCTTGTTCCCAAACTCATCTAGCAGGGGAGGTACCAGGATCACAAAGGTGGTTCCCAGGGTGAGAGTTACCCATTGCTCTCTGGGTGTGCTGGCCCTTATGGTTTCCCCAAATGTGGGAAACTCAGCGGCATCATTTGTAATAGTGGGGAACATGGTTGCAAAGGCAGCAAATAACCTCTTGCTGCCATGAAAGCCTTCGCTCTGAAGTTAGAACACAAGGAGAGTGACTCACAGCCTCTAGCCAACACTGTAAAGCTTAGGAAGTAGAAAAATGATACAATAGTACAGAATTTGAAAGTAACAAGTGCTGCTCCCAGATGATGATTACTTTTAATAAAAAAGTCAAAAGATAAATTACTAGAATCACTAAGAGAATTGAAGTTTGCCATGTATGAAAGTAGACAAAGAACACCTTATTTGAAATCTGAAATGTCAAAAGATTTCTAGAAGTATCAAACATACTGTGTTTCAAGTTGCAAGTTTAATAAAAGATGTTTAAGGCCCGGTTCCAGAAAATGAAACATTTTTGAGAGACACTAAAGAAGACCTAGATAAATGATGTGGTATCCAAGGAAGACTTCAAAATGTTCATTCTCAATCAAAAGGCATGTTAACTTATTTTTTTTAGAGGAGAGTGCAAAAAATTGGCAAGTTTATTCCAAGGATTAATTACTGGCAAGTTCCTCTTTGAAAGAGTAAAGTGAGACCATTATGCTCTACTAGATAGAAGACTTAGAGTAATTGAAAAATGCTACAGGAACTGAGACAGCACAGTCTCACTACAGGGATAGAGGAATAGCTATGTCTGCAGAATTAGACTTCTTCCAGTTCCTGGAATTTCATTGTGGAAAAAATTCTGATCCGGTTAATGGGAAGGTCCATATCATCGTGGTAGTTCTCTCCTAGGGCAACATCCAGAGCACAGAGGCAGACTCATAGAGTGTCCCACCACGAAACACTCCACCCATGACAGCGATGCAAATAAATGCATTACAGTGTTATTAAGAAATGCCTGGTGCTTCGCCATGTCTCTGAGCTAGAAGTAGAGCCTGAATCTCTTGACTCTCGCGTAGGCCTCCTGTCCAGCACTGCCTCCTGACTGTGATGGTATCGCTGATCATTTGTCCTATCTGTCCCCAGAGCCTGCAGTGGTGTTTGCCAAGGAACAGCCAGCACAAAATGAGGTGCAAACTGAGGCGAGGGCCAGCGCCACGCTGAGCTGTGAGGTGGCCCAGGCCCAGACAGAGGTGACGTGGTACAAAGATGGAAAGAAGTTGAGCTCGAGCTCGAAGGTGCGCATGGAGGCCACTGGCCGAGTGCGGCGGCTGGTGGTGCAGCAGGCGGGCAAGGCAGACGCTGGGGAGTACAGCTGTGAGGCCGGGGGCCAGAAGGTCTCCTTCCACCTGGATGTCACAGGTGAGTTCTCAAAGTCCCTGTTTGTTCCTGAGGAGCATGACCAGGAGGAAGTGGATGGTGGGAGGTGCTATCTTGTGTCTTGTTTTCTCACAAATCTTGCAGTGTAATAGTAGTTATTTGGTAAGAACTCCAGGCTGAGTTCAAAGTTCCTGTCTGTTTACTTGCTTCAGTGTTAAAGAAAAATTTTCCCTTTAATTAGAAATTTCAAGTAAGACAAGTGAGTTTTGTATGTTAGTTGCTCTTTGGAAGCAAGGATTCTGAGGCTTCGTCTAACTTACTTTGGGCATGTTGCAAGGATGGGCCAGTCCTTGGAGAGGGGCATCATGCTTGGCAGCGTGAAGGGACAACACAAGAGAGGAAGACCATCGATAAGATGGATTGATTCAGTGACTGGAGTAAAGAGGGTAGGTGTGCCAGAGACGGTGAAGTTTGGTGCAGGATAGAGCAGATTTCAGGGCTATTGTACATAGGGTTGCTATGAGTTGCAAGTGACTTGAAGCACCAAACAACAACAACCTTAAATCCTAAGATAGGCCTACCATCTGCCCTAACATGTTCATGTGCCCAATAATGGTATATTCAAGAGTGTTCCTAGCAGTTTTGCTCATAGTGTCTTCAGATTATAAACAACTTCAATGATCATGAAGAATAAAAGAAAAAATGCATTTGCTGTATATTCAGACCATTCACAGCTATATGGTAACAGCAAAAAATAAACTACTGCCAAATGCCATAGCATAAATAATTTTTTCATACGTTTATAATGAAACACCAAACCCACAAGATTATATACTATAGCATTTTATTCTTACGATATTTAGAATTGTTTTTTAGTTGCCTTCAAGCTGTCTCTGACTCATGAAGAATGGATAAAACTAATATATGATGATAAATGTTGGTTCTTTTTTGAGGGAGGTCAATGACTGGGAGGGTGGTCAGATAAGGTATTTTTCTATGCAGTGGTTACATGAAGAGATATTTACACACACACACACACACACACACATACATATTTATATATAGTTAATTGAGTTGTGCAGTTGCAGTTAGTGCACTCCATGTGAGTTATACTTTGATAAGCAGGTGCGGTATGTTTATGGAGCACATGCCTTGTACCATATACTTGAGTACTCTAGTGAATGAGACTGCCCTGCCCAATCAGTGAAGACAGTTACGTGCAAACGACAACCTATTAGCAGCTAAGTTGCTGGAAGGGTGCTCTGGTGGCCTAGTGGCAAGAAGCTGCACTGCAGTCCCAAAGGCACGTGGTTTGAGGCCACCAGCTGCTCTGTGGGAGAAAAATAGACAGTTTCCTTCCATGTGATTAACTGCCTCTGAAAACCCACAGCAGGGTCAGCTATGAGTCAGTTTAGACTCTATGGTACACAACAACAGCAACAAGTTGCTGGAATATCTTAATAGTTGCTCTTTGTTCAGTACATACCAAATTGTAGCTTGTGACAAGGGTCCTTGTGTTTGTGAACTCAAGTCTAGCAGCTTACAGGACACTTGAGATCATAGGGCTAAGGAGAAAATGTACTGAACTCCTCAATGAAATGGATTGAAACCAGGTATGTGTCTCTAACTACGTGTCACTCTCTGTCCCCAGAGCCCACAGTGGTGTTTGTCAAGGAGCAGCCAGCCCAGAGCAACGTGCAGACTGAGGCAGGGGCCAGTGCCACACTGAGCTGTGAGGTGGCCCAGGCTCAGACAGAAGTGGTATGGTATAAAGATGGGAAGAAGCTGAGTCCGAGCTCAAGGGTGCATGTGGAGGCTACAGGCCGAGCGCGGCGGCTGGTGGTGCAGCAGGCGGGCAAGGCGGATGCCGGGGAGTACATCTGTGAAGCCGGGGGCCAGAAGGTCTCCTTCCACCTGAATGTCACAGGTGGGTCATCTGCATGTAACAGCCTTGTCTGGAGAAGACAATATTGATGATTTATAATCTCCAATAGATTTTGCTTGTCCTGTGATATTAACAATACTGTTTCATAATTTCCAAATTTGCTGAATTATCTTTTTGGAATGGGAACAAATATGGATCCCTTTCAGTGGTTCGCCATGTAATCAGATTTCTTAGCGCAACATCAAGAAAACAAAGATTCTCACCACTGGCCCAATTGGCAGCATCAGTATGGATGGTGAAGAGATTGAGATAGTTAACAGTTTTAGTTTACTTGGTTCCACAGTCAACACTCTTGGTAACAGCAGCCAGGAAATCAGGAGATGAATTGCATTGGGAAAGTCAGCTGTGAGGGACCTCTCAAGAGTACTGAAGAGCAATGATGTCAGGCTGGAGACTAAGGTGCACCTGATCCAGGCTATAGTCTTCACAATTACCTGCTATGCATTGGAGAGTTGGACAGTGAATAGGGATGATAGAAAGAGAATTGATGCCTTTGAGCTGTGGTGCTGAACAAGAGTGTTGCATATACCATGGACTGCTAGGAGAACAAACAGGTTTGTCCTGGAGAAGGTGAAGTCGGAATGCTCCTTGGAGTCAAGGATTCTGAAGCTTCGTCTGACATACTTTGGGCATGTTGCAAGGAGGGACTGGTCCTTGGAGAGGGACATAATGTTTGGGAGAGTGGAGGGACGGTGCAGGAGAGGAAGACTCTCCATAAGATGGATCGATTCTGTGAGTGGAGTGGTGGGAATGAGTGTGTTTGAGACAGCGAGGCTGGCACAGGATAGAATGGCATTTAGGACTCTCACTATGAGTCTCAGACGACTTGATGGCACATAACAACAACAAATGAGTGAACATATCCAGGGCTGCATTTGTTTGCAGAAACATCTCACTTTGTATTGTGTCCATTCCTGGTGCCATATTTTTTGCCAATGTCTTCAGTGCAGCTTTGATTTCTTCCTTCAATATCATTAATTCCTGATCATATGTTACTTCCCAAAATGGCTCAGTGTCAATGAATTCTTTTTGGTAAAGTAACTGTGTACTCCTTCCTTCTTTAATGTTTCCTGCATCATCTAATGTTTTGCTCATAGAATCCTTCAGTATTGCAATGTGAGGCTTGAACACTTTCTTCAGTCCTTTCCGCTTAAGAAATGCCAAACGTGCTCTTCCATTTTGGCTTTTTAACTCCATATCTTCACAATTTCTTATGAAATTATGGCTAGTTGTCTTCATAATTTCTTCTTTTTGCTTTATCTTCTCTGCATTCGAGAGTGGGGAGCTCAAGTAGTGTGGTCACGTTGTGCCGGCAGTCTGAAGGCTGTGCTTCTCTCCTGGTGTTCTCATCCACCAGCAGCACTTTGGGAGACAGGTGGATACTCTCCTCTTGTGTGACTGATAGGCTCAGAAGCCTGCGGGAGAGTCACTGTAATTTGGAACCCACTCCAGTGGGGGTGGCAGTGAGTTTTGTATGATGCTAAAGAGCAAGTTGTGGAGTCTCTTCTGACATCCATTTTGGTCTTTCCTTTTTAATGACGTTTTGCTTCCTATGTGACGTCTTTGATGCCATCCCATAACTTGTCTCTTCTTTGAGTGTTTTTATTCAAAACATAAATTGTGACTTTTAAAAAAATAGAATCTTATTTGAATGAACGTTTACAAATCAATCTGGTTTTTACCTAATCACTAACACATTTTGCTTTACAACATTAATTGCAATTGATTAGTGTAATTGATTACAATGTCTGACCAACCTCTTATTGTATATTGTCTTTCTCTTCACCAAATTTGTCTATTTATTAATTTTTACTCCTCTCTTCCTCCCTTCATATTCCTGTTAACCATCCAGAAATGATTTGATATGAGTGTAACCTTTCCTTAGCTTCTTCAAATGTGGTCTTATGCCATAATTGGCTTTTTGTGACTGATTATGCCACTCTTAATTATTTCTTTTAGATTTATACATATTGTATATTATTTAATGAATTCTTGATAGTTTTTAAGTTACACATAGTACTCCACAACGAATCAAATCTATTATTGAGATGTTTTGAAATTTAAGTGGGGAAACTCAAGGTTGTATTTTTGGCTTTTGCGGTGTTTTCAATTTCTTCAACTTAAGTTTGAATTTTCTTATGAAAATGGTCTGTCCCTCAGTTGGTCCCTGGCCTTGTCCTGATCAGTGATGTTGAGATTTTTTTTACCTTCTCTTTCCACAGATGTAGTCAGTTTAATTCTTGTGTATTGTCAGGTGAAGTCCATCTGTATAGTCTCTATTACATTGTTTAAAAAAATGTGTTGTTATGTGCCGTTGAGTTGACTATGATTTATAGCAACCCTATTAACAATAGCTTTGAACCCTGCCCAATCTTGAGCCATTCTTATTGTCTCTGACACACCTGCCCCCATTGCCACAGTCACTATGTTAATCCATCTCAGCCAGGGCCTTCCTATCCTGTGTGACTCTCTGCCCTTCCAAGCATGATGTCCTTTTCCTGTGATCTTCATCATTTCTGTCCCAAGGCTGTATTTACTGACTGCTATTCCTTTGTATCCAACTTTTGCATTCCAGTCACCAAATATCCATCTTGTTGCATGTTTGATTAATTTCAAAGTGCAAAAGTTGGTAGTAATCCTCAATTTCTTTATCATTGGCTTTACTGGTTGGTAGATAGATTTGAATAATGGTCATATTAACAGGTCTTGCTTGTATATATATGGATATTATTCTATTACCAATAGCATTGTACTTCAGGGAAGATTTTGAAATATTCTTTTTGATGACAAATGGTATTCCATTCTTTACCAATTTGTCATTCTGGCATGATATACATTTTATTTTATAATGTATTTTATTATATACATATAATTTTATACTGTCTTTCTACTATATATAATTATATATTATATACAGAGTATATAATATATAATTATATTATGTTTATATTATCTTTTATTATATACATATAATTTTGATTCAGAATGGTCAGTCAGAATATATTTCAGCTTGTAATGCCTAGGATATGAATCTTATGTGTTCTGTTTCATTTTTCAGATCTTTCAATTTTCCTAGATTTGTACATAACATATTTTGATTATTAATTAATGTTTGCAGCTGTTTCTCTTCACTTTTGAGTTGTGACTGCTCTGAACCAGATCATAATAGAGGGTCCTGGATAAAAGTGGGATATAAATGTAGAACAAAGCTCAAGATCATAAAACCAGCCAGGATTACTAGTCTGATAGAGACTGGGAGAACCCCAGAAACTATTGCCCTTAGCCACCATTTGGGTCTGGAGAGGAACTCACCCCTGTGGCACAGCTTTCAGCCAACAGTGGACAGAACTGTAACATGACCAGTTACACTAAGGAGGTACTCAGAATTTAGAAAATACTACAACCCTACAAGATCAAAATGTCCAGGGATGAAATTCAGAAGGCAGGAAGGGCAATGACAGAAGGATGTATTGAATCAAAAATCCTGGAGAAATAATGGGGAGAATGCTGTTAGTATAATGTGGGGATTGCTATCAATGACATAAAGTAAAATGTGGATGAATGTTTGAATGGAATCCTAGTTTACTCTCTACACTCAAATCATAGTAAGATTTTAAAAAAGAGAGAGAAAAGAAAGGCTTGAGGTTCTTCCCAGCCATAGAGTTAAAGCAGAGCCTGCAGTAGCTTCTTTGCCAAGGGCTGTCTTCCCCATTTAGGTGGAATCTTTGACTTTTTGTCTCTCTCTGTCACCAGAACCCACAGTGGTGTTTGCCAAGGGCCAGGCAGCACAGAGTGAGGTGCGGGCTGAGGCGGGGGCCAGCGCCACACTGAGCTGTGAGGTGGCCCAGTCCCAGACAGAGGTGGTGTGGTACAAGGATGGGAAGAAGCTGAGTTCAAGCTCAAGGGTGCGAGTGGAGGCTACAGGATGCCGGCGGCAGCTGGTGGTGCAGCAGGCGGGCAAGGCTGACGCCGGGGAGTACAGCTGTGAGGCCGGGGGCCAGAAGGTCTCCTTCCGCCTTGACATCACAGGTGGGTGCTAGACTTGGGTAAAGGGAAACAAGACTTTATATAGTGGTGGGCTGTCGGCTGTCCTTGTTCATGCTGTGTTTCAGCTTGTGCCAGAGATTTTCCTAGTGGTTTCTGGAACAGGTCTCTGCCCACAGCCAGAGTCCATGGTGTTGTGAGGCACAGTTCTGCTCAGAACTTACCTCTGTGGTTTGTTAGTTTTCTCCATCCTAACCCTCATCTTTCTCAGAAGGAAAACTTGTCGCTGAGGCTTCTTTATACAGTGGCCAGCTGTGAATGCTTCAGTTCTGAGTCAGCTTAGCCACACTCGGCCCCGGGTCAGCTAGCAGACTTCTTCCTTGTTTGAAGGCCCTCTCATCCCATGTAGGCACCTCGCCAGGGCCATAGGGCTGTGGATGCTCTTGCTTTCAGTGAGACAGATTCTTTATTCAGTATCAAGCTTTGGGGGACCTGGCCATGAGCTGTTGTTGAGGTTAGCCACTTGGGCGTCTGGACAAGGCTGATCCACCTCTTCCTACTGTCTCTTCTGAGCAGGTATGTCCCTGCTTGTTCACAGACCCATCCACCTCCTAGCCACTTCCTTGCATGGGCCTTGCTCTCTACTGAGCCACTTCTCTCAGACGTATGCTTCTTGGGGTGTGTCCCCACATAGAGACTTCCTCCTGGAAGGTTTAGCTTTTCCCTTATAGTATTGCCAGTGTTGTTGTTAAGGTGCTGTCGATATAAGTTCAACTCGTAGTGACCCTGTGAACGACAGACCCAAACCCTGCTCTCTCCTGTGCCATCCTCATCATCTCTGACACACTGGAGCCCATGCCTGCAGTTGCTGTGTCAGTCCATCTCACCGAGGGTCTTCCTCTCCTTCACCGGCCCTCTACCTTTCCAAGCATCATCATTGGTTCCACTAGCCTACCCTGGCTGCAGAGAGGCAACTGCTGTCATTCTGGTCTCTTTCTGGTGGATACTGTGTACCCCTTTGTAACCTTATGGTTTCTCTGAGCATCTTTTTTCCCTCTTTGAGGCATCACTTTGCCTATAAGTGTGGGTGGCGGAGGTCTTTATAGCTGCTTACATCTCACAGCCTTGTTCACTAAGCCCTTGTTTGTTCCTGTCAGCGTGAGCACGTGGGCAGTGGGGTGGGCCAAGCCAGGCTGCTGATGCCTGCACTACCTGCAGTACCTTCCTGGGGGCAGATGCTCTGTGGATAATTGGAGCAACCCCCAGGGGCAGAGCTCCCATGACTGCTGGTGCTCAGTGATCCAAAGTGGCTCCTTCTTACCATTTGGTGGCCTTTTGGGCATTGGTTCTGGGCAGCAGTGTTGCAAGCAGCAATATTGTATTGTGACTTAGCAGCTCTTGTTCCATCTTCTTGAGTTTATTTATTAGAAGAGCAGCTGCCACCAAGCTGGAGTGAGATGGGCCTTGTAGAAAGGTGGCAGGATGTCACAGTCGGGTCTTCCTGCTGGCCTGACCCCTAAGTCCATGGGAGAGGCCAGGGAGTATAGGGTCCCCTTGCAGAATTCTCACAATGACTGCCATCCCCTAGAGCCCGAGCCTGAGGCCGTGGAGAAACCTGGCCGCAAGGAGCCCCTGATTGTCAAGGAACATGAGGACATCATCCTGACGGCAGTGCTGGCCGCACCTTCTGTGGCCGCTGTGGCCTGGTTCAAAGACGGCGTGGAGATTCGGCGCAGCAAGCGACAGGAGGCCGTCAGCGTGGGGGACACTCACACGCTGACCGTGCGCGGTGCCCAGACCTTGGACAGCGCCATCTACAGCTGTCGTGTGGGCGACCGTCGGCAGGACTTCCCCGTCCAAGTGGAAGGTAAGTCACACGGAGGGTGGCCAGCCTTCCAACTTGCCATACTACCCAGATCTGAAGCGCACCCAGGAGCACCCTGTCTGTGCCGAGCACCCTGAGGACTCAGGCTCAGGCTGTGGCTTGGCGGAAACCCTGCACCTCGGTGCAGCCCCTCCTGGGGACTCTGGCGTGCAGCCTGGCTGCCGTCCTAACCAGCGCACGGACACCTTTTGCCCCTGCAGAGGTCAGCGCCCGGTTTTCCCGGGCCCTGGAGCCCGGGAGCGGGGATGTGGGCGGCACCGTGGTGCTGACTTGCGAGGTGAGCCCGGAGCAGGCGGAGGTGGTGTGGCGATGCGGAAGCACGCAGCTGCGCGCAGGGAAGCGCTTCCGGATGGAGGCGGCGGGGCCGCTGCGCTCCCTCACCATCACCGGCCTGCGGGAGGAGGACGCGGGCGAGTACGTGTGCGAGAGCCGCGACGACAGCACCCGCGCCTTGCTCTCCGTCCGTGGTACGTATGTGCGGCGCTGTTACCCCACCGGTAGCCCTGAGACCCTCCCGCCCCCTCTGCTGGGCTTTCTGGGGCGCTTGATTGTAGGTGGCAGCCTTCGAGCCCCGCCTGCTGGCGGCTCCGGGGATCCCAACCAAACCCCGCCCCCTTCCATACAAAGTCCCGCCCACTCCCGTCCCTCCCTCCCTCTTACCCATCTGGCAGAAAGATTATGCTGACCTTCTCTTTCTCTCTGCAGTTCCCCGCTCGGTGAAGTTCACGTCTGGACTGAGCGGTGTGGTCGCGGAGGAGGGTCAGGAGGCCACCTTCCAGTGCGTGGTGTCCCCCAGCGATGCTGTGGTTACGTGGTACCGTGATGGCATCCCAGTGCAGTCCAGCGAGAAATTTGTTATATCACAGAGTGGGGCCAGCCACAGCTTAACCATCTCTGGCCTGGCCCTGGAGGACGCCGGCCAGATCACTGCAGAGGCTGAGGGAGCGACTTCTGTGGCAACCCTCAAGGTCCGAGGTGAGAGGTCTGAGCCCCAAGCAGAACCTTGAGATGGCTGCTGCTGCTGCTCTTTTCTGGGTTGTGTTGGTTTTGGTTTTTGGGGGGTTTGGGGGTTGGTTTTTTCTGCTGCTCATGCAGGCAAGTTTGGAAGTGGCCACGGCGCCCAGGCTTGTGTTCCGCTTATTTGACTAGCCTCAGTAGTGACAGAGTTGTTGGCCCGGAGGGTTCAGAAAGTGGGCTTGAGAAACTTGGCACCTTCTCTGTGTACGGGAAGGTACATCCTGTGGGTGTTTCTGGGAGAGGCATCCATGGAGGCTGAGTGGTCCAGGGAGGCCTCCTGAAAGAGGTAACCCACACTGAGTAGATAAGTGGTGAGACTGGGATGAGTGAGGTTGGCATTGTCATGAATGTCCAACCAGAAGGCTGGAATGACTTAACTGTGCACAGGAGGCAGCTAAGGCAGGTCTGGCTGAGAGAAGTGCAGGCAAAAAGAGCAATGCTGGTGGCTGTCATCAGAGGGGACTAGGAATCATTGGAGGATTACAGCTGAGGACTTCATTGTAGATTATTGAGTAAGAGAGTGATGTGAGGGAGTAGGAGACCTATGTGTCCCTGAAACCTTGTTAATTTGCAGGTGGAGGCACATCCCAGCTGGGTAGACCTGAGGGTCTGCATGTATGATACCATGCAGGTGTGGGGGCAAATGTAGCTGTTCGGGGTACTGCAGCAGAAACAGCCTCTCTGGCTTCATCTTCTCCTTAGAATGAGTTCATGTGGGTGGCTGTGGCCAGGTGTAGCTGGACTTGAAGGGGGACTGTGGCCCATGGAAGAGGAGGGTGAGTTGGTCTGTGCCCTAGCTCTCCTGAGTGGAAGATGGCTGTGATGTCAGCCCCCCCCTTCACCTTTCTGTGACTTTAGAGGCCCCTGTGCTATTTAAAAAGAAACTGGAGCCACAAACAGTAGAGGAACGGGGCTCAGTGACGATGGCGGTGGAGCTGTCGAGGCCATGGCCTGCTGTCAAGTGGACACGGAATGCGGCTGCCATTGTGCCTGGTGAGAACGTGCAGATCCACGCTGAGGGCACGCACCATCGCCTGGTGCTGCAGAATGTTGGCTTCTCTGACCGTGGCTTCTTCGGCTGTGAGACACCTGATGACAAGACACAGGCTAAGCTCAATGTAGAAAGTGAGTGTGGCAGGACGGGAGTGGGCATGGTGTGGAGGTGTACAAGGCAGGCAGATCAGAATGGGGGATGAGTGCAGGGTGCAGAGACAGTGGACTCTTGAGTGGGCAGGGAGGATGTGAGTGGTGTTGCAGGTGCATAGGCAAGGCCAATCTGGGACAACCTGGTCCACAGACCTCAAGAAGGGACACCCCAGGGAGTAGAGCGAGGGCTGATCCCAACTTGTGTGGTCAAGGCATTTCACTGATCTCTGCACACCTCCCAGAGGCTGCACTGGCCCTTCAGTGTCACTGATTCTGGCCCGAGCCACCGTCCTGTGCAGTGACTCATTCCATCCCCTTGTGCACTGTCGCCAGTACGCCAGGTACGGCTGGTGCGAGGGCTGCAGACGGTGGAGGCTCGGGAGCAGAGCAGAGCCACCATGGAGGTGGAGCTGTCACATGCAGATGTCGAAGGAAGCTGGACTCGTGATGGGCTTCGGCTCCAGCCGGGACCCTCGTGCAGCCTGGCTGTGAGTGGCCCCACTCACACACTCACACTCTCTGAGCTGCGCCTGGAGGACAGCGGTCTTATCGCCTTCAGGGCTGAGGGTGTGCACACATCTGCAAAACTCCTTGTCATTGGTATGTGGCCCCAGGGTCTTCCCATGTAGGGACAAAGGACCAGTGATGGTGGGGACTACGCTCCCATCTGGGAACTCCTCCTTTGAGCTGGCTCTGCAGCTTTGTCCAGTTCAAAAGTGTCCTCTCCTGCCTCCCTAGAGCTGCCTGTAAGGTTCGTCCGCCCGCTGCAGGACATGGTGGCCACAGAGAAGGAGAAGGTGACCATGGAGTGTGAGCTGTCACGTCCTAATGTTGACGTGCGGTGGCTGAAGGTACCTGCCTCTCACTCAGTCTCTTCTCTCACCTTTGCAGCCTGCCTGGGGCCTGACTGTATCTGTCTCTCTACAGGACTCCGTGGAGCTGCGGGTGGGCAAGAGCGTGGGCATTGCTGCCCAGGGAGCCTCCAGAAGCCTCATCATTTACCGGTGTGAGCTTGCAGACCAGGGTGTCTATGTGTGTGATGCCCATGATGCTCAGAGCTCTGCTTCCCTGAAGGTGCAAGGTAAGGGTGGGCACTAGATAGGGAATGGTGATGCTGTGTAAGTGATTGGACTGTAGAAGGCACGTGCTGGGTATTTCTGATTGTACCTCCTGCCCCATGCCTGCCTGTAGCCCTCAGTTAGCTGGGGTTCAGGGGGCTGGAAATCAGCCCCCCTGCATCCAAGGGTGACAGTGCCTCATTTGCTGCCCAGGTCGTGATGTCCAGATTGTGAGGCCTCTGGAGGATGTGGAGGTGATGGAGAAAGAAGGTGCCACCTTCTGCTGTGAGGTCTCCCACGAAGAGGTGCCTGGCCAGTGGTTTCGGGAGGGTACTAAGCTGCGGCCCAGTGACAATGTGCGCATTCGCCAGGAAGGTATGCTGGTGGGCAAGCTAGGAGTGGGTGGGTGTCCCCGTCCCTCCTTGACCTAGTCCCTCCCTGACCTAGTCCACAGAGAGGGGCTGTCCCCATGGCACCCTCGCCTGTGCCCCTGACCTGGTGCTGTGTGCGCTTCATCTCCAGGAAAAACGTATACTCTCATCTACCGGAGGGTACTGGCAGAAGATGCAGGTGAAATAAAATTTGTGGCTGAAAGTGCAGAGTCTCGAGCCCAGCTCCGGGTGAAAGGTGAGAGGCTGCTGAGAAGAGGGTTTAGACAGCATGTATGTGCACTTGGTGCATGTGTGCTGTGTGTGTGTGCCTGCGTGTACATGTGTATGAGCATACACGTTTAGATACATGGTTGATGGTGTGTGTGTGTGTGAAGTGTGCACGTGGGGTGCATGGTGTGTGCATGTGTGAATGCATATGTGCAAGACCTCATGGGTGCTGATGAGATGTCTGTGTCTGTAAGTTTATGTGTGAGGTCTCTGCATGTGTACTAAGTTTGTGAGGACAGTATGCAGTTATCTACGTATGTGACTGTTCTGTGTGAACGCTGTGTATATGTGTGTGCATAGGTGTTTCTGTATGTGTTCCTGTGTGAATGCATGCTTTTGGATCTGTGAGTGTGCACCTGTATGTATGAACACGTGTGTGGTCTTTGCAGAGGCTCATGATGTGTATGTCTGTGCACATGGTATACGTGTGTGGTCTCCATGTTTGCATGTATGTTTGCACACATAAGAAAGGGCATCTGTGGCAGGAAGTAGTGTGTTCATGATCATAGGAGAGCAGCAGCCCTGGGCAGAGTGTGGTAGGCAGGTGGGGTTGTGGGAGAGGGAGGAGGGTCTGCAGACAAAGGACAGACAGGCACGTGGGGCGGGGATCAGTCCGTAGATGCCCCGTGCATGGGAATGGTGCACTGACCACCTGACCTGACTTGCCCATCACCCCTGTAGAGCTGCCCGTTGCCATCCTTCGACCTCTGCGGGACAAGATCGCCATGGAGCGGCATCGAGGTGTGCTGGAGTGCCAGGTGTCTCGAGCCAGTGCCCAGGTGCGCTGGTTCAAGGGTGGCGTGGAGCTGCAGCCTGGGCCCAAGTACGAGATGGTCAGTGATGGGCTCTACCGCAAGCTGATCATCGCCAGTGCCCAGCCCGAGGATGAGGACTCCTACACCTGTGATGCCGGCGATGCTAAGACCACTGCCAAGTTCTTTGTGGAAGGTGTGGGGCCGGGCTGGGCAGGAGCGAGACTGATGAGTGCATCTTGTGATGGACTTTCTGATGTGGGTGGCAGAGGGGTGATGGGTGTCTCAGGACCAGCAAGGAGGTGTAATTTGCTGGGGAATATTCACCCAGGACAGGGCTCTAGAGGAGAGGACAAGCTGGCCACTATGGGGCTTGGCACTCTGTGTGTGTGAAGATATGTGTGTGTGTGTGTGTGTGTATGTGTGTGTAAATGTAAGGAAAAGTTTATACCTAGGAAAGACCCCAGAGCAGAGGGCAGTCTTACCCATGGGCCTGGCTAGATATGTGTAGAGAGGATATACTTTCAGGGCAGAGATGGTTTGCTCCCCTTTGGAGCTCTGGAGGAAAGAGCAGGTGGCCACCATGGGCCATGCTGTGACTGACCCTCCTCGCTCCACAGAGCAATCCATCACCATCGTGCGAGGCCTGCAGGATGTGACCGTGATGGAGCCCGCTCCTGCCTGGTTTGAGTGTGAGACCTCCATCCCCTCGGTGCGCCCCCCTAAGTGGCTTCTCGGCAAGACAGCACTGCAGGTGGGGGCCAACGTGGGCCTGGAGCAGGAGGGCACCGTGCACCGCCTGGTGCTGCGACGCACCTGCTCCACCATGACTGGCTCCGTGCACTTCACCATCGGCAAGGCTCGCTCCTCTGCCCACCTGGTCGTCTCAGGTGACTGCTCACATGACTTAGGGTGGGGTGGGCTTGGGTTCCTGAGTGGAGCAGGTCCGCTGCCTGCCGTGTCTTCTCAAGTCTTCTTCCTGTCTTCTTGGGGGTGTCGTATCTGCAGGCCCCATGCCTGACATGCTCTCGCTCAGCTCTGTGTTCTGCCCTTAGATATCCCAGTGGTGCTGACGAGGCCCCTGGAGCCCAAGGCTGGGCGGGAGCTGCAGTCTGTGGTGCTGTCCTGTGACTTCCGGCCACCCCCCAAGGCTGTGCAGTGGTACAAGGACGATACACCCCTGATGCCCTCAGACAAGTTCAAGATGACACTCGAGGGCCATATGGCAGAATTACGTGTCCTGCGACTCACACCTGCCGATGCTGGTATCTACCGGTGCCAGGCGGGCAGTGCCCAGAGCAGCGCTGAGGTCACAGTGGAAGGTCAGTGAGGGGCCAGGGGCCAGTGGCTGGCTTGGTGGACTAGGGACAGTCACTGAAAGTTCCATGTGTTCCCACAGCAAAGGAGGTGACAGTGACACAGCCCCTGAAGGACATGGAGGCCACAGAGGAGGGCAGCGTCTGCTTCTCATGTGAGCTGTCTGATGAGAAGGAGGAGGTGGAGTGGTCGCTCAATGGGACGCCACTGTACAACGACAGCTTCCACGAGATCTCCCGTGAGGGCCGCCGCCACATGCTGGTGCTGAAGCGTGTCTGCCAGGAAGACTCGGGCACTGTGTGCCTCACGTCCCCCAAGGTCACCACCTCTGCCCGCCTGGAGGTCAGAGGTGAGTGCTGTACCAGGCAGTGTGTGTGTAGGATGGGGGGGGGGGGACGAGGTGACCTGGCAGCCTGCTCACCCTGTGCCCCTGCAGGGAAGCCAGTGGTCTTCCTGAAGGCACTGGATGACGTCACGGTGGAGGAGCGGGGCACGCTGGCCCTGCAGTGCGAGGTCTCAGACCCTGAGGCTCGCGTGGTTTGGCGCAAGGACGGCGTGGAGCTGGGTCCTGGTGACAAGTATGACTTCCTGCACACGGGAGCCACACGAGGGCTTGTGGTGCATAGCCTGAACCAGGATGACGCCGGCCTGTACACCTGCCACTTGGGCTCTGAGGAGACCCGATCCCGGGTCAGAGTGCACGGTATGTGGCTGAACTGCTCGATCCTGCAGCCCCTGCTCTGAAAGGGGGTACTCCTGGGAGGGGTGCCTCTCTGCAGGACCGAGGCTGTGTTTTCAGAGAAGGGAGAGCTTCTTCTGACTTTCTGGGAAACCAGAAAGTATAGTGTGATCTGAATTCAGACAGGGTGAGGGAAGCAAGCTAAGGGCGGAGAGCCCGCTGTGCATGAAGAGAATGGGACTTAGGGACTGCTGATGCCCACCTGAGAGAGTCCAGGCCAGGAGGGAGGGAAGTATCTGATGGAGAATGGAGATGTGACTGTACATGGAAGGACTGGGCAGAACCAGTGCAGCATGCAGGTGGTCAGGGAGCCCTTCCAGTGGGGAAGGGGTTGCCATACGAGGAGAGTGGTGAGGCGTGGGAGAGGACTGTGGGAGGTTACCGTTCTCATTCCCATGGACTCTCCACATGGCTGAGCAGGACAGCACGTAAAAGGACCAGCCCAACACTGTGGCCCTGTGACTTCCCTGAGCATGTCTGTTTTCTGACCTGGCTCCCTGCAGAAGGGGACACCTTTCTGCCTGCCATGTGTGTGCCACATGTCTGGTACTTAGAGTGCCCCTACATTTACTGTGAGTCTGGGGCGCTATCATTCACCTCCACCAGGAAGGAGGAAGGAGGAAGGCAGAGTCGTGAGCATGTCCCGGGGCTGACTTGACCTTTGCTTGGGACTCCATCCTTCTCCTGAAATCGTGGATGGTCCTCAGCCTCTCCACGTTCTCCACCTTCCTCTGTAGCATATGGCTTCCCCTTCAGACTCAGATGCTCAGGTTTGTCCAGATGGAGGGGACAGAAGGCTTAGTGAGAGCAGCACTGCTGCGGGGTCAGAGAGTGGGGTGTCAGGTGCTCTGTGGATGGTTGCGGTGCTCCGCAGCTCACCAATTCTGTATCACGGACCTTGTGCCAATTGGGCCATTGATGACTGCTCCCCCTGACCCTGCAGACTTGCACGTGGGCATCACCAAGAGGCTTAAGACAACAGAGATACTGGAGGGTGAGAGCTGCAGCTTTGAGTGCATCCTGTCCCACGAGAATGCTGACGAGCCGGCCATCTGGACCGTCGCTGGGAGGACCGTGGGCAGCTCCGGCCACTTCCAAGCCAGGCGCCAGGGCCGCAAGTACACTCTGACGGTTCAGGATGCCGCGCTGAGCGATGCAGGAGAGGTTGTGTTCTCTGTGGCTGGCCTCACCTCCAAGGCCTCGTTGGTGGTGAAAGGTGGGCATGAAGCCTGGGGTGGGGGGTGTCACTCGACTGCCCAACCTGGCCCCACGTGGCCAGTATCAGTTTGGGCTACAGGAACATTGGCGTGCTCCTGACCATCCCTCAACCTTAATGAGTATTCCAAAGGCTGTGGGGGCTCAAGGCTATTAGAGTGGGACTACTATGAGGGTAGAGCTTTTCCTCCTCCAGAGAAGGAAAAGGACATCTTAACCCAATCTGTGACTCAGTGATATATGAGAGCTTCTACTACGCGCAGCCCCACACAGGCCTGGCCACACTCAGAGAGGCGGTGTTCAGACAGACAGCCAGTGTAGAAGGCTCATCCTGATGTTCCCCAGAGCTCCTTCTGGCAGAGTCTGGGCTCCTTGCCTTCCAGGACTCTGAGGTTCCAAGTGCTAAGGGTGAAGGGTCTCTGGTCTCAGTTTCTGTGGTCTGAATGCCTGCCCTATCCCTCCCTGGACCTGGCTGGGCCATGGTTGCCTCATGAGGTGGATGTCTCTTCCTCCAGAGAGGCCAGTGGACATCACAAAGGCCCTGGAGGATCAGAAGGCGACACCAGGGGAAGATGTGGTGCTGAGCTGTGAGCTGTCCCGGGCAGGCACCATGGTGCGCTGGCTGAAGGACGGCAAGGCTATCCGCAAGAGTCAGAAGTATGACGTGCGTGCCGAGGGCACTCAGGCCCTGCTGATTGTCCGCGCAGCCACCCTCAAGGATTCGGGCGAGTATACGTGCGAGACGGAGGCCTCCAGGAGCACAGCCAGACTCCGCGTGGAAGGTGACAGTAGGGACAGGCCCAGGGTACAGCCTGCGCTGAGCTTGCTATTCTGCCCAGGCAGGAAGCTGAGGCCTAGTATGGGATGGGCAACTGCCTAGGCTTGGGGGGCACTGGCTCACCCCTGTTTGTCCCCTCCTCCCCCCAGAAAGGGCAAACTGTTTCACCAAGGAACTGGCTGATGTGCAGGCTGAAGAGAAGGGTTCGGCTGTGTTTGAGTGTGAGACGGAGCGTCCTGCGACTTCAGTTACCTGGCGCCGAGGCCTGGTGGAGCTGCGTGCTTCAGGCAAGCATGCACCCAGCCAGGATGGGGTGACCTTGAAGCTCACCATCAATGCCCTGGAGCGGACAGACAGTGATACCTACACCTGCGACATCGGCCAGGCCCAGTCACAGGCCCGGCTCCTTGTGCAAGGTGAGGTCCTGGGTCGGCAGAACGATAAGTTGCCTCAAGGATGCCACTGCGTACAGTTGCCATCGTGTGTGCGTGTCCAGGTGTCGTGGCTTCCTCAGAGTCTGGACCGCCAAGGTGCCCAGAGATCAGGGCTTTGCCCCAGCATGACCCTGAAAAGGCAAGCCTCAGTGTTTCCATTCACACTGAGTTGCACTGAACAGTGTCTGTGAACCACCTGGCTTGAATTTATGGGCTTCCTGTGTATATGCCATCACGTGCTGAGTAAACGCTCTGCGTCAGTCCCTGTACTGGACGCCATGCATGGAGTCAGCACATACAGGATAGGCTCAGGGGAGCACAGGTGCCAGCTAGGCTTATCAAATGCTAGTGCTGCTGTGGTTAGTCTGCTACAGAGCTGGGCCAGCCATGCCCAAGTCCTGCTCCTTTAAGAGACCTGAGACATAGAGGCTCCATCTTCGGGAAGATCCATGGCCCTGTCATTGCTCCTGATTAAGTGGCTTTCTGTCACCACTGTTTTTTGTCTCCCTGTTTGAATGTCACTTTGTCACAACATGGTTTCATGTCACCAGTTTGCTTGCTCTTCACAGTCCCTTGCCTTCAGTCAGGTGAGGGTCATTATTGTTATGTGACATCTAGATGATTTCAATTCATAGTGATTCTAACTGACAGTGTAGAAGTGCCCCATTGGGTTTCCTAGGTTGCCATCTTGATGACTACCACACAACTGTGAATTTTTCATGCCGTGGTGCATTGCACTGCTGTGATGCTAGAACTCAGTCACTGACATTTCAAAGACCCACAGGGTTACTTAGGGTTTTTCAATAGTTTTCAGTGGGGCTTCCAGACCGATAGAGTCTAAGAAGAGGGCCTAGTGATAAAAATAGCCCAATTAAAAACCTTAATAATAGTAATAAAATATTATTAGATGAGTCCTTTGGACTGAAAACATGACTGGGGAAGAGCTTCCTCCTCAAAGTATAGTCAACATTAATTGGAAAGTAGAATGTATGAAATATGAATCAGGGGAGGTTGAAAGTTGTTTTAATAATGTGTAATATTTCATTGGACCATAGTTTCTTTGATCATTTGCCCAATGATGGTCATTTGGGTAGTTTTCAACTCTTTGCTGTGGTAAATAATACTTTAATAAGTGTGTGTGTGTGTGTGGTATTAAGTAATTTTGAATTGAACAAAATTCTATACAGGGAATGACAAATTGTAGAGGAATGGCATTACATTAATTGTCAAAGAGATCTGTCCTGAGGTATCATGGTGTCAGTGATAGATGCCTTCGAGGCAGACTGGGGTGAGATTGAAACAGCTGTGTTCTGGCTGCTGGTCCGTGCTCTAGGCCCAGGGGTCGAGCAAGGCCAGAGTGGTGTCTTGATTACATCTCAACATCAAGAAACACTGGATCAATAGACAACATCATGACATATGGAGAAAAGATTGAAATTGTCAACTACTTCATCTTACTTAATTCACAGTCCACATTCTTGATACCAGCAGATAGGCGATCAGGAGGTGTGTTACACTGGGAAAGTCTGCAGTCAAAGATCTCTCCAAATTACTGAGGAGCAATGATGTCAGTTTGAAGACTGAGGTGTGCCTGCTTCAGACCATGGTCTTTTTAATTGCTTGCTATGCATCTGAGAACTGGACAGTGAATAAGGATGACAAAAGAATTGATGTCTTTGAGTTGTGGTGTTTGTGAAGAGTACTGAATATCCCATGGATGGCCAACTGGAAGAAATCAATATTTGTTCTCATTCTGAAGTAAAGCAACCCAACACGATATAGAAATTATCCAAAAGTGTCATTAATTTTACACCCAAGGGAAGTATAGCTGAAGATATTTAAAAGTGATTGCAGAAATACATGGACAGGGAAATGCCACAAATTCAAGCCAGATTCAGAAGAGGATACAGAATGAGAGGTATCGTACTGTTGTCAGATCTTGACTGAAAGCAGAGAATACAGGATGTTTACCTGTGTTTTTAAAGAGGCATGAATACAAAGGCATTGATTGGTGTGGATCATAACAAATTATGGATAACACTGCAAGGAATGGAAAGTACAGAACATTTAATTATGCTCATGTGGGACTGTACAGAGACCAGGATGCAGACATTGGAACAGAATGAAGGATGTCGTGTGGTTTCAAATCAGGAGAGATATTTGTTAGTGTTGTGTTCTTTTACTATACTTACTCAACCTGTGTGCTGCACAGATAAATCAAGGAGCTGGACCATACAAAGAAGAACTTGGCATCACAACCGGTGTATGATTTGTTAACAGCTTTCAAAGTTTAGGTGGCATATCCTTGCTTGCTGAAAGTAAAGAGAACTTGAAGCATTTCCTGATGAGGACTATAGTCTTCACTAGACATCATACCTCAACATAAAACAAAAATCCTCACAACTGGACCAATAGGCAATGGCTTAATATTTGTAGAAGATAATCAAGTTATCAAAGATTTAATTTTACTTGGATCTATGATAAGGCACCCACATAAGCAGAAGTCAAGAACCAAAACATTATATTGTGCGGGGCAAGTTTATTGGAAAAGACTTTTTGAAGGTGTGCTAAAAAGCAAGGATGTCACTTGAAGGACTAATATGTGCCTAACCCAGCTATGATGTGCAAAAGCTAGAAAATGAGTAAAGAAGACAACTGAGAACTGATGTATTTGAATAGTGGTGTTAGCAAAAAATAGTAAATACATTATGGTATAAAGATGGTATCGGAATAAATGAGTCTGCCTTGGAAGTATAGCCAGAGGGCTGCTTTGAAATGAGGATGATGTTCTTTGAACATGTCATCAGAGGGGACAAGTTCCTGGAGGACGTCAAATGGTTTGTTGTTGAGTACTGTTGAGCTGGGACCAACCCATAGCTGACCCTCCAGTGGGTTTTCAGAGTCAGTAGATCCCACAGGACGTGATTGCCATCCTTCTCCTGAGGAGCAGCTAATGGGTTTGAATCTGGCGCCTTCAGGATTGGAGTGCACAATTATTATCACTGGGCCACCTCGAAACAAACGCCTCAATTAAATGAATCAGTACAGTGGCTCCAGCGCAGCAATGGTTAGGGGGATGGTGCAGGACCAGCAGTTCTGTGTGTTGCACCTGGATTGCTATGAATGGACCAACCCAGCAGCACATAACAATACTGACAATCTGTATAGGAACAGATTGTCAGGCTTATTCACCAAATGTGGTTTAGAAATGTGGACCTTTCTGTTAGCAAACAAGCGCTTAACCATTTGTGCCATGAGGGCTTGTTGAGCCTTATTGTCCCCTCATTTTGTAAATAGAGATATTGGGGGTTTCAGCCAGACAGTGGCTCACCCAGATTTGCAGGACATGTTGGCATCTGAGAGCGATTGAGACTCTGTCCTCCCAACAACCAGCCATCAGGCTGCCGAGTTCCAGGGTTGGCGCCTAGGTGTGTTGGCCAGAAGCCACTCTGTTCTTACAGATTCAGTGAGAGGCCTTCGGGATAATTCATTATAAATAAAGAAGTCTCACTTTCCTCTCTTCTCATTGTACTTTTCAGTTCAGCAGAACATTTTTGTTAGAAGATAAAACCCTTTTAACTAATAAAAGTGCTATTCATATTTAATTTTAAAAATTGCAGTTAGGCTAAGTGTCATAAAATAATGAAATATGTTCTTTTAGACACTTAGAGCATACACATGTTCACCATTCTCTTGGTGTAGCCAGCCTTTTCTGCTTGTGTCAATGTGCCATTCCTTGTCTCTTTTGTCTAATTTGCACTCCACCATCTACATTTTCCAGCATCAATTTCTTTAAGGTAGATTCATAACTTCAAGACGCTTGTCAATACAAAAGGCATCCAAGTGCAGAATCTAATTACTTTTTCATTCTTTCTAATCTTTTCCCTTACTTAATGTAGCTGTAAAAATGTTTTTGCCCCCCAAAAAAAATGTTAAAAAAATGTTTTTGCCCCAAAGCCGTTCAGCTTCTCAAACACCCAAAGTATTTGGCTTAAAAGTTAACAACGTAGCCACAGTTCAGAGCTATTTAATCTGTTCATGTAGGATTTAACGTAATTAAAAACTCACCACTGACAAGCTGATTATGAGTCATAGGTGTCAGGAATGGACAGAGTTGAACAGTTCCTTAGGGTTTCCAGGGCTTAAATCTCAAGGGAAGCAGATGTCCCCATCTTTCTCCCAGCAAGTGACTGATGAGTATGAACAGCTGACTTTTTGGTTAGTGGTCACTTTAACCACTTTGCTACAATTGCATGATTATGACAAGCCCAAAAGGCATGAACGGATTTGGATAATGGCGCACTGGTGAGCACAGCTCAGTGAGGGCCAGAAGGGTGGCTGTGGCCAGAGGGAGACTGCGTCAGGCTCCGGGGCTTACCCAGCGTACTTGGCAGGACGGTGGTGGACGGAGGTGAGTCTGGAGCTTATAAAGTGACCTAAGTTAGTTTTGAGACAGCTCAGCTGTGATCTGAATTTTACTGACATGAGCTTGGAAGAGTCTCTCCAGCTCCTAGCATGGGTCTCCCCCAAGTGCGGGGAGTATCGTCTTTCCCCTGGGAGGTGACTGAATGTGCAATCTGATGAGCTAAGGCCCTTGACCAATCTGTCTGCCCTCACAGGCCAAAGCGTGCGCATCATTGAAGACCTGGAGGACGTGGATGTGCAGGAGGGCGCCTCGGCCACCTTCCGCTGCCGTATCGCCCCTACTGACTATGAGCCTGTCCACTGGTTCTTGGACAAAACCCCCTTGCATGCTAATGAGCTCAATGAGATTGAGGTCCAGCCCGGGGGCTGCCACGTGCTGACCCTGCGGCAGCTTGCGCTCAAGGACTCGGGCACTATCCACTTTGAGGCAGGTGACCAGCGGACCTCAGCCACGTTGAGGGTCACAGGTGAGTTATGAGTTCACAGAGTAAGGGTATGTGCCCAGCTCTGTGTGGGGACTCAAAGGCCAGCAAAACGTGGTCCATATGGCTGAGGAACACAGACGTATAGGGACAGGCCACAGACAGGAGCTGGACCACATGACAAGTGCCAAGTAGGACTCCCGAGAATGTACCGTGGTTGCCCATTGAGGGCAGGAGGCTCTGACTCCTGGGAGCTTGCGAGGTTGGGTTGGGCTATCTAGGGTTGGATTTGTGGTTTGTAATGTGCTGAGCTCCTGATGGCATAAGCTAGGCAGTGGCCCCTCTGGGGTGAGGAGGCACGCAGGCTTGGTCTTATTCCTTATTGGCCCCTTCCGTGCCCTTAGTAAGAGGGCAAAGATTCCACTGGTCTGGAACTCCACCCGTGATGCCTTTGAGTGGCCCACATGGTGGCGTGAAGCTCATGCTGTTTGCATCTCTTCCTTGGTCCCCAGAGAAACCAAGCATCTTCTCCCGAGAGCTCACTGATACCACGATCCTTGAGGGGGACACTCTGACTCTCATTTGTGAGACCACCAATCCGGACAGCACCGTGAGCTGGACCAAGGATGGGAAGGTCCTTCGACCATCAGCCCGGTGCCAGATGAGTTATGAGGGCTGCCAGGCCCAGCTGGTTGTCACGGACACCACCGTGCAAGATGGCGGACGCTACAAGTGTGAAGCAGGGGGCACCTGGACCAGCTCCATCGTCAGGGTCCATGGTGAGCCTGGGCAGTGCAGGGGGGCTGGCTAGCCTCTGATTGCACTCCAAATGTCTTTGACTCTCAGACATACTTGGGGCAGAGTGGGCACCCAAGGAAGAAGTCTGCAGGGAGTCCAGGGAACCCCTTGCCCCAAGCCCTGCATAGCTTCAGATCTACTTGTCTCCGTACTTCTAAGTGTGGATCTTGGCCCTGAGTCCTGTCCTCACCACATCTCCTATGATCTTTGCTCCAATCCTGTCCTTTTCCTTCCCCATCACTGTCTCATCTTTGCCCTGCCTCTGCCCTGTCTCTGTGCTGTTCCTGCTCTGTCTTCACCTCTCCTGTGACCCTTTTTTCTCTGAAGTTCTCAGCAACCTTGGCTCCCTTGCTCCTCTCTGTCTCTGGACTGACATCTGCTTCTTGCTCCTCCACATTTCTGGGTTGTGTGATCGGCCTTGTATCCTACCTTTGTGGCTTCTCCTCCTTTTCCTTCTGTGGCTGTCTACCCGCCCTGCTTCTCCTGCCTTTTACTGTCCGCCACATAGGATGAGAGGGATACAGTGGGTGTCAGAGCAGAGGCCGTGCTGAGCCTTGCCCATCCACAGCGCGGCCAGTGAGGTTCCGGGAAGGGTTGAAGGACGTGGAGTTTCTGGAAGGCGGCGCCGCGACACTGCGCTGCATGCTGTCTTCTGTGGCTGCGCCTGTGCAGTGGCGCTTCAAGGATGAGGTCCTGCGGTCAGGTAGCAAGTATGGGCTGCGACAGGAGGGAGCCATGCTGGAGCTGGTGGTACGAGACCTGCTGCCCGAGGACAGCGGACTGTACTCATGCACCTTTGGGGACCAGACGACTATGGCCACACTTACCGTGAAGGGTAGGTAACATCTGTCCAGCTGTGCCTGTATCCCACTGCACCTTTCCTTCAGGGTCCATGTTGAAGGTGCTACCTCTGCCCATTTGCCTTTTTACCCCCCAGCCTTGCCTGCCCAGTTCATAGGGAAACTGAGAAGCAAGGAGGTCACGGAAGGGACCACGACCGTGCTTCGGTGTGAGTTGAGCAAGCCAGCCCCTGTGGAGTGGAAGAAGGGCTCCGAGACCCTCAGCACTGGGGGAAGATACAGCTTGAAGCGGACTGGGGCCATTTGTGAGTTGGAGATCCGTGGCCTGGCTGTGGCCGATGCTGGCGAGTACTCATGCATAAGCGGACAGGAGAGGACTTCAGCCACCCTGGCTGTGAGGGGTAAGGACTGAATGGGGTCATGTGGACAGTGGCATGGTGTTCACTTGTTTGACATTATGCCATCCCTCTGTCTGCACTCAGGGAGCTCTGGTAGTGTAGTCCATAGGAAGATGCACCTTAAAGGCTGTGCCTCTCTGATGGTTCAGACCCACCACTCCTCCATGAGAGAAAGATGAGCAGTCTCCTCCTATGTAGTTTACAGCCTCAGAAAACAAAACTGGAGGGCCAGTTATTAAGTCGATCCTAACTCAACATCGATGCATTTTTATCCACACTCAGATTCCTTGACTCGTCTCCTTGACTCTAGAACACCCTCCTCCCTTGTTGTTGCTGTTGAGTTGGCTTTGATCGTACAGGCCTTCTGCATATCAGAATGAAATGTTGCCCAATCCTGAGTCATCTGTGTGTGTGCTCGAGACCGTTGTTTCCGTTGTGTCAGTCCATATCATGAAGGATTTCTCTCTTTTTGGTGACCAGCACTTCATTTCCTAGCACTTCATTTTTCCTGTTGTTGTGTTAAAAGTAAATGAGCAGAACTCTTGCCTTTCTCACTTTTAAGGACCACGTGTTTGTTCTTCTGGAATTCCATACTGTATCAACTATTCTTCAGGAACATAATTCAAACACACCAGTTCTTCTTCTATCTTCCTTTTATAGGTCTGGCTTTGTCGTGCTTATGAGGCAATTGAAAAGGCCATGACTTGAGTCAGGTTCACCTGAATGATTAATACATTTTCATATTTAAAAGAGGTCTTTTACAACAGATTTTCCCAATGTCATTTGATTTTTTTTTGACTGTTGCTTCCATAGTCTTTGACTGTTGATACAAGTAGAATGAAATGCTTAAAAACTTCAGATTCTTTGCCATTTATTATGACATCAGTGCAGTTGTGAAGATTTTTATTCAAGTGTAATTCATACCGTGACATTTGATCTTCATCAGTAAGTGCTTCATGTCATGCTCATATTTTGGCAAGAGTGTTTGTATCATCTGCATGTTTCATGTTGTCAATAATCTTGGTCTATTCCTGCTGCTACATTTGTTTGTGTAGTCATTTTTTCACATTACTTGTCCAGCATATAGATGAGTGAGTAGGGTGAAGGGATACACCTCATTCTACACATTTCCCCCTATTTGAACCATGCAGTGTCCCCTTGTTCGGTCTTACTGACTGTCTCTTGACTCAGTTTAGTGTTCTGGAATCCTTCTTGTTTTCCACACTATCCACAATTTGTGATGATCTTATACAGTTGAATTCCTCCATGTAGTTGACAAAACACAGATACATATCTTTTTTGTATTCTCTCTTATCCAAAATCTGTCCAACATCAATAATGATAATCCTCATTCTGTGTCCTCTTCTGAATCTAGCTTGAACATCTGTTATTTTCTCTATGTATGGCATCAGCTGTTTTGAATTTTCTTCTGGAAAATTTTGATGGCAAGTTAAATTAATGGTACTATTCTGTAATTTCTAAAGTCTGTCTGATTGCCTTTCTTTGGGATGGGTTCAAATACTTGTCTCTTTCCAGACTGGCTGGTCCTCCAAACTTGTTGATATAATAAGTATCACATCACATTTATTGAAGCATCTCAATTGATATTCTACTGATTCCTTGGACCCATGCTTTTGCCAATTCCTCCAACACAATTTTTGCTTCATAAGTGCTAGTCATTCTTGATTATGCACTACCTAAAATTACTGAATGTTGACTAATTCTCTTTTTTAAAAATTTTTTAATTATTATTATTAATTTTAATGAAAATGTACAGATATTTTAGATTTCCATTCATTCATTGTTGCACTTTTCTCCCTGCCCAAGCCCCCTCCAGTTCACTCTTCTCTTTGAAATGTAAAAGAAAAATTCTTTCATTGGTATACAATCCCTCCCCCACGTCCACTCTACTATGTAGCCTTCTACTAATTCTCTTGGTATAGTGGCTCTGTGTACTCCTTCCATCTTCATTCAGTGCTTCCTGCGTTGTTTAATTCTTTTTGCCCATAAAATTCTTATTTTCACTTGAATTTTCTCTTCAGTCCTTTCAGCATCAGAAATGCTGATAATGTTCTTTTTGATTTGTCCTTTCAGGTCTTTGCACATTTCATTATACAGTGAATGAAGCCTCTGAGAGCTGAAATGCAATAGGATTGCCTTGTTTTCTAGGTCTCACAGATTTTGTGCCTTTGCCAGGGTGCAAATCATGCCACTTTTCTATTGCCCCTTTGTGTGGAACATATTTTCGTTTTTTCCTTTTTGACAAGCTTCTGCTTACACAGATTCTGGCTTTAGCAAGTTTTACTCTAATACGTTACCTTATCTTCATGAGCTGCCCTTTGTAATCTTCAGTTCTTTTACTGCCTCATTTCTTTTATCTTCTTTAGCTACTCTACACTTAACAGCCAAATTTGTTGTATCTGTTTGAGCCTTTCCCTCTTTCTTGTTTTTTAATGACCTTTTACATTCTCCATACTCGATGCCCTGATTCACATCATAACCCCTCTTCGGTCATTAGGATCTTTTTTTTAGGTCATCACATCTGTTCTTGGTCTCTAAGTAATGGTAATGCACTCAAACTTATGCTTTGGTTCTCATGAATCTGTTTTGATTTTATACACGTTCAGCCTGAACTTGCACATAAATAATTGATGATCTGTTCTGCAGTTGACTTTGTCTTTACAAATGATAAGAGCTTCTCTGTTGTCTATTTCCAAGTTCCCTTTCCCTTTCCTGAGTGATGCACAACCTTTGTGTTGGCTGGACTAAGAGAAATGAGAATCTATAGCCAGTTCTCCAACAACTGCAGTATCTCCTGTTTTCTGTCTTATCTTCTGTCCTGCCCCGTCGTGTTCCCCAAGTCCTCCAGAAATCTGATGTTATTCATATTTGTTTTACATTCCAGCCCAACCTGCCCAGTTCATAGGAAGACTGAGAAGCAAGGAGGCTATGGAAGGGGACACAACCACACTGCGGTGTGAGCTAAGCAAGGAGGCCCCTGTGCAGTGGAGAAAGGCCTCTGAGACCCTCAGCGCTGGGGGCAAATACAACCCGAAGCAGGATGGGGCTGTGTGTGAGCTGGAGATCCGTGGCCTGGACATGGGGGATGCCGGGGAATACTCATGCATCTGCGGACAGGAGAGGACCTCAGCCACGCTGACTGTGCGGGGTAAAAGACCACGTGTGGCCGTATGTCTTGGCAGCCTAGGGTCTGAGCTTGTCTTTGTGTGTCTCCCTTCCCACCCCCATATGCACTGTGGTCTGCTATTTCTCACTCATTCCTGGAGCCCACAGTCCATAGCAGCTGCTGCATGTGAGCCTGTCTCAGCTGTGAGATAAACAGCAGAAGGCAGGTGATGCCCTTTCTGTCCTTGTGGAGTCACAGTTAAGGTAGAAGAGACCAGTCCCGAGGAGCAGAGCCAGGAGGAACATCTGAGGCAGGAGGGCCACATGTGAGTTTGAGAGAAGAAGAAGTAGAACCTGAGGCATGTAGCCAAATAAGGGTGAGAAAGCTGGACAAAAGGAGGACCATAAAGAAAAAGGGCTGGACTTAGAAAGCTGAACAGAAAGAGGGCCAGACAGAAAAAGGACCGTACAGATGAGAGCCAGAGAAAAAGAGGACAATACAGAAAGAGGGCAGAACAGAAAGAGGGCCAGACAGAGAGAGGACCATACAGAAAGAGGGGCAGACAGAAGAGGGCCGGACAGAAAGGCCCAGACAAAAAGAGGACCATACAGAAGAAGGCCAACAGAAAGAGGGACAGACAAAAAAAAAGGGCTGGACAGAAGGAAGGGTGGACAGGAAGAAGACCATACATAAGAGGGCTGACAGAAAGAGGACTAGACAGAAGAAGGCCAGACAGAAAGAGGGACAGACCAAAAAAGGGCTGGACAGAAAGAGGACCATACAGAAGAGGACTGGACAGAAAGAGGGCTGAACAGAAAGAGAACCATACAGACGAGGACTGACAGAAAGAAGGCGGGACAGAAAGAGAGCCATCTTGGAGAAGGCAAATCTTGAGCATGAACTGTATGGGAAGGCTTGGGCGAGGCTTTTGCGGGGAAGGAGGAACACCAGGTGAAGCCTAGAGGAGACCCTTGTCCTCTCCATTCAAGAGGAACAGGCTGTACATGATGGTGTCCCCAGAAAGTGAGGCATCTGATATGGGTATTGCCACACACTGAGAGAATGCCAGGTGGGGCTGAGTCCTGTGTGACTATCTTAGCTAACTGGTTGGCTGCATTTTTGGAGATGGTGAGATGTGGACAAGAGGGACTTAGAAGAGCAAAGCATGGATGAATAGTGTCTTTGGGCTTAGGTGCAGGAGAAGAGGCCTCTCCTGAGAGGGAGGGTGAGCAGAGCAATTCTTGAGGATAACGGGGCCATAAGTGGCATCTCCCTGGCCATGGGGAGGTGTCATAGGATGAAGATATGCTGAAATCAGGAGGGCTGAGCATTCCTAGGTCTCGGGCTGAAGGTGTACTGAGGAAGCAGGGATAAGCAGCACTCCATGGTCACAGGAACAACGCTGATGAAAGGGCTTGAGAACCCCCACAAAGAATAGATTATCAGCTTCTCTGAGGGAACAGTCACCTCATGAATATAGATGCCTGACAATACATCCTGGGGACCCCAGCTCACTCTCTCACAATGGAAGTGGAGTCTGCTGAGCAAAGGATAGGATTGTGGGTCCAGGGTAGATGCTTCCATGTGGCACAAGGCCACAGCTCCTCAGGGATGTTGTCCTCCAGGCCCCATGAGCAGCTACCACACTAGGAGAAAGTTGATTCCACTTGGAACCCAGAAATGACGTGAGGTAACAAGCCACAGCTCGCTTAAGGAGAAGTCTCAGGGGATGGGCTGTCTCCTGGTGGGAGGGAATCCTCGACGGTGGTCAGCACCCAGTCCAACCGTGAGTATGCACAACGGCTAGCACTGTGTATTAAATTGTATCCCCTAACCTGTACAGGTAAGTCTGAATTTGTTTTAGGGACCTCGGAAATGTCTTTGTAGATGTTGTCATTTCTGAGCATGGTGAAGTCATTTCTGAGCATGGTGAATCCTAATCTGAATTCCTTCTGAGTGGCTTCTTACAGAAGAGAAGGACAGACTCAGAAATAAAGCCATACAGAGGAGGATCCATCCACAAGGCATGAAGCAATCCACCTACAAGCCAAGGAGATACCCGAACCTAGAGAATGTGAAAAATACCAGGAAAGACCTTCTGTCAGTCTGCAGAAAGAGGACACAGCCCTCCCTTCACCCTGCTCACAGACTTCAGTCTCCAGGACAAAGAGACAATGAAATCCTGTACTTTAAACCACCCACTTGGTGGTATTTTCCCATAACAGCATGAAGAGACTACAATCTAGTCAAAAGAATGTGAGATTTCTATGTTTTTAGAAGGTCATAACTGAACTGTCTTGAGATGCTATAAGCAGAAAGCCTCAGCAGAGGATGGACCTAGCACGTGACCCCACACTCTGCTCATGGCGTGGGCAGGCATCACAGCTGGGCATGATGGAAGACAGGTGGCTCTCGTCTCTCGTCCAGCTCTGTTCTCTCAGGCTGGTTTAGTCTGGATTATTCCCAGCCCTGGGGAGCTGCAAAGGTGCATGAGTTTGAGCTAGAACCATAGATCTTGGAGTATAAGGAGTTTCTCTCCACTCTCCCTTTGCTACTCATACCAGTCAAGATCGTACGTGGAAACAACAAGGTCACTGCAAGCCTACGGCCACATTGCAGCATGAGCAGATCAAGGTGGATCTGTGGAGTGGGGCAGGGCTCTGAGACCCTCATCACCAGAACAAATGCAGCCAGAGAGAAAGGACCATGTGTGAGCTCACTAACAGCCCACTATCCATAAGCCTGTCCTGTCTCTGTGGTGTCTCTATGAGAACTACCAGTTCTTCCATCTGCCCTCTTCCAGGATGGATTAGCCCAGTTTTCTGTGTTCCTCTTCCCGTATTAGAGAACTCTGGCAGCTCAATGGTAAGGAGTTACACTGCCAACCCAAAGACAGGCAGTTCAAATCCACCAGCTGCTCCACAGAAGGACAGGCAGTCTCCTCCCGTGTGATTTACTGCCTCTGAAAACCTACTGGAGAGTCAGCAGTGAATGGGTTCCAACTCGACAGTACATAACAACAACTCGTGCATTGCTTCCCACACGTTTCCTGCTTTCTTTTTATTTTCTGTATTCCCTGCATAGAACGTGTGTGTTAGTGTGTGTTCATGTCCGGCGCACAAAGTCCTCCAGGCAGTCTGATGTTCTCCGTGTGTGTCTGTTTGGCCCTCTCAGCCCTTCCAGCCAGATTCATTCAAGGTCTGAAGAACGAGGAGACCACTGAAGGGGCGACGGCCACGCTGCGATGTGAGCTGAGCAAGGCGGCCCCTGTGCAGTGGAGGAAAGGCTCTGAGACCCTGAGTGAAGGGGACAGATACAGCTTGAGGCACAATGGGGCCACGTGTGAGCTAGAGATTCATGGCCTGGCTGAGACGGATGCTGGGGAGTACTCGTGTGTGTGTGGGCAGGAGAGGACCTCAGCCAAGCTGACTGTGAAGGGTAAAAACTGGCGGTGGGTCAGTGGCATGTTGTCTGCACTGCCGTGTCCTGTGTCACCACCTTCTGTCTCTTTCTGTGCTGGGTCCCCAGGACACTGTGCACACCTGTGCTCTATCCAGCCAGGTGTCACAGCGTCTTGACCCCTTGACCAATAGATTTCATGTTTGTGAGGTTCATGTCTGTCTCCCTGTGAACCTTTGTTCTCTTGTTTCTCATTTCTCTTTTGGGATTTTCAGTGCTGCTTAATGGGTGCTGTGTCTAGGACACTATGTCCTCTAGACTGTCTTCTGGTGTCTATTTCCACTGGGCCCTTCTCAGCTCTGCTGCCCAGATTCATACAAAGTCTGATTGGTGAGGAGGCCAGGAAAGGAACAATGGCTGTGCTGTGGTGTGAGTTAAGCAGGGTGGCCACTGTGGAGTGGAAGAAGGGCCCCGAGACCCTCAGCACCAGCAACAGATACAACCTCAGGCAGGCAGGAGTCATGTGTGACTATTGGTCCACAGCGTGGCCATTGCAGACACTGGGGAGTATTTCTGCATGTGTGAGTGAGAGAAGACCTAGACCATGCTGACTGTGAGCAGGGTAAAGTATGCATGTGGCCCTAGAGGGGTCTCTCTAGGACAGCTTGGTCAATGTCTCCTTCGTCCCTTGATATCACTGTGTGCCATAACACTCTTCTCTTTGATCTGTTTCACAAACCGCATTGATAACCACTCTGGGTCAGCACTCTCAATGCCATGAGGCAGGTAAAAGGACGCACCTGGTAAATGGAATGTCTGCACAGCACAGGCTCCAAGAGGGAGCGAGGGTATGGGGGCAGTCCAGGACAGACTCAGGGTCCAGAGGCCCTCAGGCAACAGGCATGTGCATGTGACCAGGCTTGTTAGGTTGTCATTTGAGAGAACAGTGCCTGCTGTCAGGGAAGAAGTGGACAGGCAAGTGTGTGTCCCCTGCATTCGTTCTCTGTGGGGATCACATTGTGAGACTGAGTCAGCTTTGAGTTCTGAAGCTCACTCTTGCCTTGGAGTCTGGAGAAAGCCATGGAGGTGGCAAGGTCGAGGCCCAGGGTGTGGCTGGATGGCTACATTGGGCCCTTGAGGATCTCAATGATTTGAACTAAGGGAAATGGGGCAAATGAGGCCAGGGTGAGGACGTGGGGCAGAGCAAACTAAGCCTACGTGGATAGAGGCAGTGCAGATGTGGCTAGGTGTGGGCAGGCCTGAGCACTGGTGGAAGGTGACCCGCATGCAGTGGTAGTGCATTTGTGTGAGATGGGTTGGAGGTGAAGACCGGAAAGTAGAAATGCCCTTCATACTGTTGACCACATGGTTTGCAAATGTGGATGAGACCAGACTTGGAGCCCAGGGTGCAGGAGAGATAAACCTCAGCCAATAACAAATGGTCAAAGCTGGAGACAGAGGCCCCTTGAGAAGAAGAGAAGGCTGGGAGGAGCTGTGTCTCCTGGCTGCTCATCTGCCTCAGGACACTGGACGCAGAAAGGCGCAGCAGAAGACACTTGCCGGACCGTCCTCACTCTTGGTCCAGGAGTCCGTTTCTGTTTTCCTCATGTATATTCGAGTCTCAGCTCCAGACCTCCCGGGGGGTTTGATAGCTACTATCTATCTAATCTTCTCCAGCTCTGCCCCTCAGTTCACCCAAAATCCGAAACCAAGGAGGTTGTGGAAAGGGCCATGGCCACACTCCAGTGTGCGCTAAGCAGAGCAGAGCCTGAGACCTCACATGAGCTGGAGCTCTGGCCCTGCCAGGGGGAATGCTGGGAATACTTGTTTATATGTATGTAGGAGGGCAGAACCTCCATCATGCTGACTGAGGATGTAAAATCAGCATGTGTCCACAGGGACGGGGCACCGCTGTGTGCACTGTGGTGGCCCGTGTAACGTCACTTGCCTCCATCAGTGGACTGTGTGTGTGTGTGTGCTCCGTCTCACTGGAGTCTCCCGGGTTCTCCCACATCCTCAACTTTCAGACCAATAGATGCTGTGACGATTGTGCTTGTGAAGCTCATGTTTATCCCTCTGTGTTTCCTAGCCCCACCCCCCACCCAGTGGTCATTTGTTCCCCTAATCATATGTGCATGTTTTGTCGTTTGTCCATCCTTTTGCCACTTGGGGAGTTTATGTGCTGCTTTCTGAAAGTTTTGCCCATGTGAAAGCCACACATGTAGTCTGAAGTCCTCTGTGTCCATTTGACAATCCCAGCCCTGCCAGCCAGATTCACACAAGTTCTGAAGAGTGAGGAGGTCACAGAAGGGGCGATGG